GAAATTAGAAACAACGACGATACCACAAACACCCAGACCTGAGACAATATAGAAAAGTTAGTTTTTCTACATTAACCCTGTCGAGGATCGAATCCGGGACGTATACGACATATTTAGAGGAACGCTAAACAGAGGTTGAATTATTTTATTTTTCCTTTCATTTGAAAAAAGAATGACTTCAACCGTCTTTTTATTTCGACTAAACTTTCTGATATCACTCGACCACGGTGGTCGTCATAATATAGACATATTTAGAAGAACGCTAAATAAAGGTAGAACTATTAAATTTTTTCCTTTCATTTGAAAAAAGAATGACCTCAATCGTCTTTTGATTTTGACTAAACTTTCTGATATCACTCGACCAGAGTGGTCATCATAATAATAGACCTATTTAGAAGAACGCTAAGTGGAGGTTGGATTATATAATTTTTTTCTTTCATTTGAAAAAAGAATGACTTCAATCGTCTTTGGATTTCGATTAAACTTTCTCGTATATGTGGCCAGTGGTTCACAATGAACGTTGTTATCATAACTCAAGCTTATTTTAGGATTGCTCTAAATATGTTCTTAAATACCTATATTGTATCTTTCGTCAACTTAACACAGTTGTTCAGCGACTCCGAGTGAGGCTAAATTCTTCATAAGATATAAGTTGTTGCTTACATCTCATAAAGATTAATATATTTTCAAATATTTTACTGAGAGTCGGTAATATTGTAGGAATAAAAGGTCTGAAATTGATAGGGTCTGAATTAATACCAGATTTATGAAGAGGTATAACTTTACTTTAACTCATGAGGTTACCAAACCATCATCAATTGATTTATTTATTTATATAATTATAAGGAAATTCTTGGGGACTTACAGATTAACCAACACGCCCAGCAAGATATTCGATTACAATAATAATTATAAAATGATAATAATAATAATGACAATGCCAACGACAACGACAACGACAACGACAACGACAACGACAGTAACAATAATAACAATAATAAAAGTAACAAACACAAAATAATATTAACGACAATTTGAATTCTAATTCTAAGGGCCAAGACCAACCATCCCAGAAACAAACAGCGAGGAAAAAAGAAATAGGTAATAGCCGTACCGCCTTTTATAAAGATACCGTGCAAACTTGCGTTGTACTCTATCGATCATTAGGCTGTATTTAACCTCTCGTGGATCCCATACGAAAGCATTATACTCAAGCTTGGATCGTACGAACGTACGAGTTGTACAGCAACACAGCAACATTTGGGTCACGGAATTGAGACGCTGTTCTTATTATGAAACCCAGCACCCTGTTAGGATGCATATATAGCATGTTTAATCGGGTATCTTATGTTAATCCTAGGTCTTGAATTGTACTAACACGGACGAGTGGAATACCTGAGAGGTGATAATTAGCGTTAACTGGATCACTGGATCGAGTGAAGGAGATGGTTTTACACTTCAGTGCATTGAGTGGTAACTTGTTAGTTGCACTCCACTGTGTTACGGCGGCGATCACCCGTTGAAGTGACTCGCAATCAGAAGCTTGATCTATAGGGTGCATTACTTTAAGGTCGTCTGCAAACAATAGAGAATGTGCTCCCCCAATACATGTCCTGAGGTCGTCTACCATAATTTAAAAAAAAATATGATGATAACTTTTTTACAAAACAACCGACCTCAAAAATTTCTAGACTTGCATCTATTTGCCAAGTTTTATTTAAAATTGTTAACGGAAAATGGGTGATGTCCAATAAACCGGTTTCATTCCCTTATTGACCGCCCTTAGAGGTGGAATATTGTCTTAAAATTTAAATGGGATTACTACTTAGGTACAATTTCCAACAAAAAAAGAGTCATTGAAATCGGTTCATAAATGGCCGACTAATTGCGTAACATACACACAAAAAGAAATTACAGTCGATTGAGTCCTTTATTGTTGTCATTAAAAACACATGCTAAATGACGCACAAGGCAATCAACTATGATATAGCATTAATATACAGCATTAATTGCTTTGACGGAAATTCAAATATTCAATACTCTCGAAGACCCGCGGTATTTTTTAATTTTTATCGATATAAAAGCTTTAACATAGTCTCTTACGTGACAACACTTTAAATTGCTAAGACTAACTCCAATATTTTCTTTTAAATAAAGATTCAATGACTGCGGAAGAGAAATTTAACGATCTGGAAGTCGAAATTGGAATGTCAGTAAAAAATGTCAAAGATTTTATTATGGTATGTTTAATATCTACAAGAATTTTATTATAGAAGGCCGTTGAGTAATAAATATAAAACATTGTAATTTAATTAACTTTTTCTAATCCTGACCAGCTGCCTTCAGCGTGTCTGCTTGTCACAATTACGGCGAAAATACGTTTTGAAGAGTCTAAAATTAAAAAAGTTATTAGCCAACATTTAATTTTACCCTCGACCCAACAAATGTACGAGAAAATGTTCGCTTAATTAAGTTTCAATGAGCACGGTATTAATAGGGAATTTCGAGATACAATCCCCTATATAAAAATGTAAATAAAAAAATATAAAAATTCATTGATGAATAAATTGCTGGTAAATGAAGCGAAGAAATAATTATGAAAAGTCGATTTTTTTATATTACTGATTAAATTAAATTTGTATTGAATTGATATTCAATAATTTTTTGTGAAATTACTCCACTAAGTTCGTTACAATAATTAATATAAAAGTGGAAAAAATTGCTTCGATCCGGCCGGATTCCAACCAATGTGTCCCAGCAAACCATGCCAGACGCTATGCCAACTAAGCCACGGAACAAACCAGCGGACCTCACGAATTTTTCTATGTGCTTGTTTTGTCGGATCTTTGTAGTTGGTTTTCAACGACTTATCAGCAGTAGCGCCATCTATGGGAAATCCATGAAAATATTTCGTCACCGTTATTGATGAAAATTACAGTTTTCTGGACTTTTTTATATTCCGAAATTCCTTTTTATTCAAAAGTAGTTTTGTCTTGTTGAAAAAAATATAAAGCAACTGATAGTAGCTTCTATTCGTTTGTGTGTAAAGTGTTAAATGAAAGTGAATCGAGAGAGATATTCGATTGGTAAGATCGTTTCCATAATTGCCTCTTACCGTTTGCCATGGAGTTACTCTCTCTTATCTGAAATTCAGATTATTTGTCAGAGTCGCTTTGAACTTACCTTAAACCGATTTCGGAAGAACGTTTTGAGCAGATTTACTCAACTTGAAGTCGCAAGTTCAAAGAACACTCAGCTTTTCATGGTCGAGTGTGGAAACGCAATTCTTGACACGAGCGCTCATCATTGAGTGTTTTCGCGTATACAGACCATGAGTACTTTATACCCTCCATATCAAGACTAAAATCGATAAAGTTATTAGGTTTCTTATCACTGTATGATATATTTTTATTGTCCCGAAATAATTGACAAATTAGACAACATCACATAATTAATAATAATAATAATAATAAATAACGCACACACTCAACATAGCCCCGCACTAGGGAAACCCTGTGTCGCGGGTGCCATGGACACACATATAGACAACCACAAATAACACCCAAACTCACGAGAGAAATAATTGTAGGCCATACAAATATTTCTCCCGGCCCGGGAATCGAACCTGGGACCTCTGCGTGGCAGTCCGGCATGGTAACCGTTCGGCCACGGAGGCAGTTGAATTATATTGCTCTAATCCCAAACTAAGTAAGTAAAGAATTAGGACGACGGTACCACACACACCCAGACCCGAAACTATATAAAAAGTTAGTTTTTCTACATTGATCCAGCCCGGATCGCACCCGAGACCTTAGAGATGGCGACACCATGAAAACCGGCATGCAAGCTTCTCGAATAAGGAGGTAGTCAGATAATGGAATCATTTGGTGAATAATATAACCATGCGCAAATCTAAAACATTACACTACTCTAATAGCATAGTATAATAAGACAAGAATGGTAACTCCACACAAATGTAGCGGCGCGGCTTGTATGTGTCCACGCCCGCATCGCGCCGTGCAAGTGTACATTCATTATAGAAATGAAGCCTTTCATCGGTGTTTAAAAAATTACATCAAACAGTAGACGTGTTTATTGTTGTGTTTATGATTGTTTAAACAAGAGTGCCTTAAATTGTATTAGTTCAAGAACATTTGTACGCGATTATTGGTAGATTTTTGTGATACTTACTATTATTATTTATTGAACACCACGAAAAAATCACACAAATAAACATATTGTTTCATTTTATTTCCGTATTCAGGAGCCTACTTTGCAAAATTGTAACCAAGTATTAATTTTAGTAGCAGTAGAGCTCCTTGTCAAAGAGTTCGTCCATGGAAGTACTGCCACCTTACCTATTTCTGCCGCCAAGTAGTAATGTGAGCATTACTGCGTTCCTGTTTGAAAGGGTAAGGGTGCTGGTGAAATGACAGATACTACTGATACTTGTCAACTTGTCTCAGGATGACGAGCGCTGTAGCAGTGCCCGTATGATTTTTGCGATTTTAGCTCTTATGGATAGCTGCACGACTTGTTCGTCCCGTTACTTGATATTATAAAAAGAAATATATAATACTTCTACTATATCGACCTTGGCGAGCCAACAAATTTTTTTTTTTTTTTATCATATCAAGTGATGGGACGAACAAGTCATGCGGTAAGCTACATGCCTGTCCATAACCGTTGCAGTGCCACTCAGAGCTTTGAATCGCAAATATTTGCGGGGCACTGCCACTGCGCCTGTCACCCTAAGACGACTTGACAACTCTCATGTGACTGTAATTTCACCGATCTGATTCCATGTAAAATGAACCAGCTACTCTCAACTTGTACGATTTACCACTTTCTGTATATTGTTTAAATGTTTCGTATTAAAAACAATTACTATTTGCAATCCCAATCTATAACAAAAGTACTAAAAAAAATGCCAGAAAGCGTTAAAATTAATTAAATCTTTTTTTGGATCTTATAATTATATTAACATAATTCTTTTACAGACACACATTCGTCGACGCCAGTGGTGTGCCTAGTGATAGAAGGCGGTACGAACACAGTACGAGCAGTACTGGAATACGTGACTGACACCCCTCCTGTACCAGTGGTGGTGTGCGATGGCAGCGGGCGAGCAGCAGACCTTATCGCTTTTGTACACAAGTAAGCACAAAAATATAGGAATATATTTCAAGGTCGCAGTATGCATTGTACGATACTGGGCCACTATAGGGGGCTATTATGCAGGATGGAAGAGAACCGCCAGTAGACAAAGGATCGTGAAGTGCAATGGCGATATTTACGGCCATATTTCACAGGAATCGTTGCGTAACGTGGCCGGTATGGTAGTGTTAACACAATCACCTACTGTTCAGTGTGTGAATATCAGTATCGCCGAAGGGCTATGATGGCCTACCTTGGCGCATGGTGTGCATGATCCATTGTGTACTGGAGTCTTTAGATCCATTTTGATACTGTAAGCGTCATACCAGAGAATTCTTCTACTTTTCTATACTCTTATTTATATTTCTTGACTATATTGACTTTGAATAGTATATTTCTACATTGACTGCGCTATTCGTAGCCGCGTAGAGATCTTCCTTCATACAGGTATTAGGGCACAAGTGCTGCTTATGCTTTGTTGGGGCCCCGCAGTCACCTCGGATTAGACTACCATCCCTGAACCCCCAAGAGCAAAGATAAGATGTGTGAATATGGATCACCGCAGGTCGCAACCTGGTTGTAGTTGATCTTGAGAATGATGAAACCAGATGGTGGAGGGTTTATCTGCAGTTGGGTTTTGCAATTAACAGTTATCAAAAATTATCGATAATTTTTGCTATGGATATTTTGATTATTAACATTTACCTAACAAGCTACTGCATTCTCTGTTATGTAACCCTTTTGTATCAATTTTAAGTTATTTATTTCATAACGGTCGGAACTGGGTGTTCCAAATGAGTAGATCAATGTCTAAATATAGATACAAGGAGTGACATAAAGTGGTTAAAACCACCAAATATAAATTAATTACTTTTTTCGAATTCCGGAAATAGATTTGCACCATCCTGAGACAAAACCATAATAGAATAAGATCAAGTATGGTAACAAAAGTCGCAACGCGACTTGTTTGTGTGCACGTACCCCCGTCACGCGCCGTGTACGGACGCACTCATTTGTATAATACAAGAATGCTCTAGAATTGCACAATACTGGTCGTCTCAACGCGCCTTTCAATATTATACGAATGTGTGCATGCGTACATGGCGCGCGGCGGTTACGCACACATACAAGCCGCGCGGTTATTTTGTACGGATTTACCTTACCTGTTTTAAACTACTATTATGCATCTAGGAAGCTGAAGTCGTATTTTAAAGTAACTCTAGTGGCTTCACGTACTGGGTCAAGAACACTGCTTGACACTTAAGATTTAAATTCAACTCTGTGGTGCTTACGCTAAGAACGGTCCAAAGGATACAGTGTCAAGCTTGACGTGCTCTTGACTGTACAAAAAAATATATAGTGGATAACTAACCTTTCTCTTTTTTAACTAACGCGGATATTATAGATACTTTTATGCGAGTTCATATTCGCGGCCAGTAAGGAAAATAACCAAGTTAATCCAGAACAGTTTAAGTATAAAGTTAAGGTCACTTGTTGATCGTTAGTACACCCGCACTTGACCGAACCCTGACCTAGTTCACTGTATTCGTGAATTGAAGCATAACGGCTAACGCAGTAGGTGCACAATGCAGTAGAATTCCGATAATCTGAACTTCGGTAATCGAAAACTTAATCCGAAACCAACCGAAAAAATGTCGTTAATAAAAATATAAGTATATTAAATTACTGCTCAGTGAATCCTTGGATCATGGATATGCTCTTTATGTTTGACTCTACCTATTAAAACCAGACCAGAACGCAGTAACGTATATGTAATCACATTACTGCTTGGCGGAAGAAATAGGTTAGGTGGCAGTATTTCCCTGAACGAACTCTTTCTTTCACAACGAGCTCTACTGACATAAAAAAATTTTTGGTAGTATTTTTCTCTTAATTTCTACTATTATGTATAACAACGTCTATTTCTACTATTTATTCTATTTCCTACGTGTATAGTGCCAACGCTTTATTTGTATTATTACTCATACAGAGATTGCTGATTCTGAACTATAGAGTAAAATGACAGTTAATTGCAAATGTGTTGCCCGCTTCAAAGCAACTAGTGAATAGTAGTGATTGCAGTTAATAAAATATTCTATCGATATCGACTGTATGTTGGTTACATTAATGCAATAAATAGCCGAACTTGTTTCATTTGAATCATCATCGGCTTGTTATTCATCCAACTGCTGGGCACAGGTTAATTGAATTGTCATTTTTTGTAAGTCCATACATACATACACTTAGAATAAGTACATTTAGAACGATGTGCTTTAAAAATACAAAGAAGAGACATTTTTTATAATAACGCACACACTCAACATAGCCCCGAACTAGGGAAACCCTGTGTCGCGGGTGCTATGGACACACACGTAAACAACCACAAATTACACCCAAACACACGAGAGAAATAAATGTAGGCCATACAAATATTTCTCCCGGCCCGGAGATCGGACCTGGGACCTCTGCGTGGCAGTCCGGCATGGTAACCGTTCGGCCACGGAGGCAGTTAATTTTAAAGTCTTTCATGTATGTAGATAATCAAATCCGTTCTTATCAACATGTATATGAATAAAAAATTATTTCGATACTAATAGGCTAACTGTAAAAACAAGTGTAACGAAGGCAGTAGCGCAATTAGCAATCATGAAGACGTCGTAACATTCACAATTTGGACACTTTTGCCAAAAAATTTGTCTACTTTCGCGATCTATCGATGAAACTGTCGACAACAACTACATGACTATTTGAAATTTTAAGAAAACTGTCAACCCCTCATATGTAATTTTACTCCGTCTTCAAAAAAGACAGATTATACAGGAAAATTTGTCAAAATTGTTTGATCTTTTCTGGCATTGATTCAAGAAAACATGAACTTTGAAGTGTAAATTTAACAAGCAAATTGGATCGCTCACAGGGTGGTTTAAACGGTCTATATCCTTGATTTGACAAAGAAATTTTCAAGCCGGTACGCTTGTGTGTGCAAAACGAAGCGTATCGATTACTTAGTGCGCTTCCTCTCTGCAAACAGATTATGTGCAAAGCAATTTCACGGGAGTCCTCTTTCAAATTACGTAGTTGCTTTGACGTTGACAAAAAAGATTTATTCTACGTACTCAATGATGTCTATACGTACCAAGAAAGACTTAGCCGTTACTGGTACGTATTTATAAAAAAAATTACCCTTTAAATATCAGAGACTACTTCTGCATACTTGAATGACGAAAATCCGTGGTAGTACGGGTCCACCCGTTTAGCTCTTTCAGGTATTTTCAATCTAAGATGCTTAAATTATATATCGTAATGATAAATGTATTCAAATGTATATTTACAAAGAGCAACCCCTTGAGTTTTTTGCTCATTCTTCTCAGGGAAATCGGCCTTATAAATGAGCAGTAGAGTTCAATCAGTATGACGATTTCAAGTGTAATTTGCTTACCTATGAAATAAAGATTACTTGACCTTTACTTTGACTTAGACTACGATGGGATTTTTCAATGAGGAAGACCCACAGTTAGCTACATATCACTTTCTTGTAATTATACAAGATGAATGATTATTAAATCATGATCAAATTATATAATAACTACCTCAATCATATTAATAGCTGCTATAAGTAGTTAAAATTTATTCTGACGCTAAATATATAGAAATAGAAACCAATTATAAAGTATGATATACCAATTGTCAATTTCAGTTTTTCAACGTGGCTACCTCTGTGTCAACTGATCTACGAATCGTGCCAGCAACTGTTTCTTTCTTCTTCCATAGGTTACCATCGCTAGAAAGTTTTGCAATCTCCTGAATAATCAGTCTTTATAAGATACGAGTTTGAGAACTTTCTCAAACTCGGCAAAGGCATCGATATGCGAAATTTTATAACCTATTTAAACGTAAAATAGTTGTCGACTAATTTATTCGTTTGTACTCTATCCTGAAAAGTTGTTATTATACCAAGGTTGCGATCCCTTGGGATATCTAACACTAGGCAGAGTAACAGAAAAATAATTTCTGTTATTAGAAACATTATTACCATTGTTGTTGAAACAATGTAGCCTGGAAGACGGCAATACCGTAGTATAATTTAGCAAGTATATCAAATCTCGCTTGTTCGGCACGTAAATGCCTGCACTACGTTCGTGATTGTTACCATAGATATAGGAAAATAGGGTTGTTACACAATTATTTCATTTGTACCTACAGGTGTTAACATAATTGAAATAACCTTTGTTAAATTCAGTAGGTACTTATGCATTGATAATTTTAAACCAACATCACGGATGGTATCTTATGAACTATGATTATGAAATATAAATTAAATGCTGAACAATTCTGAAACATCACAAGCGCCACGTCTACTAATGATGTCATTTTTAAACACCCAGCAACCGCTTCATGTTTATAATTAATAGCGCATGTAACGACCCTTGTTTTTGATTACCCGAGGGAATTTGCTTATGTGGGACTGAGCTGAACAGGAAACAGCCCGATCGTACCAAACCCCCGGTGTGCTCCTCCTCTCCGCTGCAGGTGCAGGATGTAAGGGTAAGCTTTCACTCGTCTGCGCCTCCATCAGCGGCTGACCGCACCCAGCTCAGGCCCTCCCCGAGAAAAGAGACACAGCGGTCCTCCGACTCCAAATGTAAGGCTCACCGAACACCAGACGAGCCTTCCATCTCGGGCCTGTCCATGCTGGGTAACGAACTCCCCCGTGTTCGATACCCAGGGGCCATGGGGGCCAGGACTATATCCCCGCACTTGCGAAGTTCAATGGATGCTCCCCAACCCCCGCGGCAGATGGCAACACCTTGCTCCGTCTTTTGTCCTTGTCCCTGTATTTTGTTATCTTGCGCAATAACGAGAATTGTATTGTATTGACATGAGTTGTTAAGGGTGTATTGTTGCCGTTTTGAATAATTGAAGATAGTACCAAACTGAAAATTAATATATCGTTGAATTGTTTGTGGGCTCAGTTGAGCACACACGATATAATATATAACTACCTGTTGGACCTCGAGCCGGGCTATGCCGCGACCCAGTTTGTCCAGGAGTCATAAAATGTTCTTGAGCTGTTTAGAGCGCAACGTGAAATGAAAAATGTTTGCAACAATTTGCTGGCACGAGTTACTTATTTTAGACATAACCGATCATGAATAGAATATCATATTATGACTTAGAATTTGTCTGTTATTGAAGAAACTGGTATGAAGATGATGGATCCGTCTATATTTTTCCTACCAACTGGGTTTACATGAGAAATGATCGGACTACGTAGAGTTATTTCAAGGAACAAAGACAGAAAGTGGGGACAGCTTTACGACAATATTTTTTAGGTCCTAGAAGTTTTCGGAATTCGGCAAATCCCTTAAGTACACTAAAAATTGACGTTATTTAGGATGGACAGATACATTATATTTATCTTAACTTTGTTTATTGAATTGTCGCAACACAAATTTGTCGTAATATTTAGGAAAATTTCGAGAAAAAAATTAATACTTTACCGTTTGTGCGCTGTTACTTCCAAAATAGTGCTTAAATTTACCTTGTGATAAATTGTGATCGATCTTAATAAAGAACTTAATAATATTCTTTCTTTCTTTGAATTTAAGCCCTTCGCAAACTTGTAATTTCATGACATGACCTTTTTTCTCGAAGTCTGTTAGCCTTCTGCGCATATACCAGGATCCCGAGGGATCAGAAACTTACAATCCCGCAAATAAAATATTGTCATAAGGCAGTCTCCATTTTCTGTCTATCGTCCTCGAAGTTTAAATAAAAAAAAGCCTACCTGTAATACCAGTTTTCCATATTCAAGTTATAAAACCCAAACATAAAACTTTGAAACATTGGTTACAATCTGCCAGTCCCAATAAAGAAGCAAATAATACACAACTAGAAAGCGGGGAAAATGGAATTTTAGATAAACAACTGGCAATAGAGCCTTTACCGCAGTGTTGCCAGCATGTTTGTCAGACAAACAACAGATGCAAGTTTAAATTCAATTTATTTGGTTTTGATTGTTTGTCTGGCTTCACTTGAAATGTGGTTTGGAAAATGTAAACTTTTTAAACGTGAATATTTTTTTAAATTACGTTTTACCGCCTTTAGCTTTGAACTGTCGTACCAGAGCAGAATAGCAATAACATAATGATTAGACGAGAATTTCTGTTAGATCGATACTTCGGAGGAAAAAGGTTGTAAAAGCCAATTTAATTAAAATAGATCTATTGATGTGACTGAGTCTGAGTTAAAATTTCAAGCAGTTTTGTGAAAGAATGTGAAAAATGAAAAATTTTTCGTCGAAATAGTATGTTTTTAAGTAAAAATAGATACAAAAATTAAAAAAATAATGAACGGAAACGTTTATAAATATTCGTTTTTTCACTTGTCTTATATGGTGTTGTATTGTCTTGTAAAGGTTGTATTGCTTTTACAGTCTACTTCTCCGAAGTATTGTACATGCGTGTATTCTCCAGAAAAAGAACTAATTTGTCTGTCTACAACATGTCTGTTACCCTTAACAATATTACTTGTAATTCTTTATTATGTCATAACTAAACGTGCTCAGCCCTGAAAAGATTTTCGCGATATGTATAACACATAGGAATGAAATTTTTTTTTTTTCGGATTTTAATCGTGTACGTGGTGCGCACTATAAATATCCCTGGTAAAATATAAGTACTAATATAGTTTTAAGTCTGTACCTACTAACATTTCATTGGATCTCAGATGTCTCAATAAATAAAATTTTATTATTATTATATATTACAAGTTTCCGGAATGAATAAGAAAAAATACTATAAATGGTCAGAAATTAATTTATTGTTTCTCAAAATATTCTCCGTTAGCGTTAATGCAGTTTTTCATACGAATGAACCAATTTTGAAAACATTTATGCCACTCCTCCGTGGCAATCTCTGAAATATATTTTTCATACTCTTCGACAGCCTCTTCAGGTGATGAAAATCGTTGACTGCGTAACTGGTTCTAATTTTTGGAAATAAATAAAAGTCACAATGTTCCAGGTCGGAACTGTACATGGAATAGCTCATCAGGTCAACGTTGTTCACCTTCAAAAATTCATTTGTCTGTCTGGCCGTGTGAGAATTGGCATTATCGTGGTGCAAGATGATACGGCGTTTACGGTTATTTTTACGGAGTTTGTCAATAACTCCCGGCAAACAAATGATCGTGTACCAATCACTATTCACGGTACAACGATTCTCCAAAGCAAGAGTAGCCACATGTCCAGTTTTATTTAAAAAATAAGCAATCATCCACGCCCGCGCGCCACTTTGGTTGGTTTCGGCTCATCTCGAAAGACCCATACGCTCGATTGTTGCTTTGTTTTGGAATCGTAACTATAAATCCATGTTCGTCACCTGTCACTATATCCCGCACCAAATTTGACGCCCTTTCGTTGAATCTGGTAAGCATGGCATTGCACCAAGTGACGCGATCCGTTTTTTTTAGCCTCAATTAAATTGTGTGGGATCCACCGAGAGCACAGCTTTTTCACACCCAAATATTTGTGTAGTATTGATTGTATTTGACTCATGCCTATGCCTAAAGATGCCCAAATCTCATGGTATGTCACATGCCTGTCTGTTTTGAGCATACGGCGCACAGCGTCGATGTTTTTGTTGCTCACAGCAGTGGACGATGGTCGCCCCATCACGAAATTCGTCACTAAGATTCACACGATCGCGTTTGAATTCTGTAGACCTGCTGTAAATAGTCGTCTTGCATGGTGCTTCATCGCCAAAAGCAGTCTGAAGCCGAGCGGAGCTCCGCTGAGCTGTTACATTACACTTAAAGTCGTAGAAAATCATACTACGAAAATTTTCACGACTTAAAACCATGGTTAAATCCATTGTCTACATCAGTAGACAACTAATTTCTAAAATGACGCCACAGTGTAAAAACAAGTGACAGTCAGATGAAACAAACTATTCTACAGCTAAAGAGTTCCATTTTCAAATGTTGCAATTACGTTTTAAATATTGTTTATGTAAGTGGCCAGCTCCGGAAACTTATAGTGCGCCCTATGTATATTTGCTTTTTCAAACAAACTTTCAGGCTGTTTACAAGTTCTCTGAAATAGTTTCGCAGTGTAGTGCTTCACGTTTCTCTAAGAAGTGCCATAAGTGTCTTGCGCCGGTCTCATACGCCCCAGCTGGGAATCTTTCGTGACTGATATGGCGCGTTTTATTCACAGATATGCTTCAGAGAGCGGAGAACAATCCGTTCTGGAGTCGATGCGAGATTACCTGATCGGCACCATACAGAAGACCTTTGAAGTTGGTTTGCAGCAAGCTGAATGTTTATACGGCGAGCTATTGCAGTGCACTAGGAAAAAGAACTTGGTAAGTAACTTCTTGTAAAGGGTTTATCAACAAGAACTTTGTTTTGTAAATCAAAATAAAACAATAAATTCAGATGACAATGATTCAAATTTTTATTGTATTAAAAAAAGTAAGGTTTGGCAATAATGAATGAAAAATGATATCTGATAAATGTCCACTACGACCACAATTACAGATATCGATTCTTTCATCAAAGTTTTTAATCACTTTTTGACAAAATGGTAGGTCTATTTCGCTAATCACTTCACGAATTTTGAGTTTTAAGGCTGCAATCGATTCGATTGGCTCCGTATAAACTGTATTTAAAGTAACCTCATAAAAAATAATCCAGCGGTGTTAAATTACATGATCGAGCTGGCCACTTAACGGCTAAATTTCGTGAAATTACGCGATCGGGAAATTTGGTTTGCAATAAGGCGATTAACACACTGCACCGCACCCCGCGACGGTGCGCGGGACGCGGAATCACGCGCGCGGTAGCGGTCTAACGGCCCCGCGCCACTCAGAGTACTTGCTTCGTAGTTGATCGCCGTAGTGATTGCACATGTAGCTGAGATCCTTCTTTGACAAGAATTAGAAACGGTTAATAATACAGAATTCATTCAGGACGCTGCAGTTATACTGTCCATTGTTTTTGTTTACTCAAATAAAAAGACACCGAAGATAACATTCAACTTCATTACAAAAATTTAAGAAAATATGTAGATTAATTTTTCAACTACACACGAATGTCAACTGAATCCTTTGATTATTTGTTAGGGAACATCCGAACGACAAGTGCTGGAGTAGACACAAATTGATTAAAAATCTGCTCGGTAGTGCGGAGCGCAGTGTGCCATACCCTGCGGTTCGCCGCGCTCCTCCGCGCGGGGCCGGGTTAAACCGCGCGCGGAGAAGCGTTGTCAGTGTGTTCGACGGCACGTGTTTTCCAAACTGAGGTGTACTTCAGTACAACGTTAAAAAACGCAGCACTGCGCTCCGTCGCGGGGCGCGGTGCAGTGTGTTAATCGCCTAAATTAATTGTTTCGGTGGCTGTGTGACTAATGCCGTTGGCATTGGGCCGTTTTTTTGTATATATAATTGCCAAACCGTAACTTTTTTAATACACTAAATTTGAATCATTGTCATCTAAATTTATTGTTTTTTTTATTTACAAAACAAGTTATTGTTGAAATACTCTATGGTAATATTTTATTATTTGTTTCTTTTTTCACTTTTTGACGTTTACAAAATTAAATTGTATGCAATCAATATTTACAAATGTATAATTACAAAGAGCAACCCCTAAAGTTTGCTGCTCGTTCTTCTCAGGGTATTCTGCCTCATGAATAAGCAGAAAGGTTTAATCAATATGACGATTTCAAATGTAATTTAATTACCCATGAAACAAAGATTATTTATTTAATTATTTGCATTTCACATGTAGTCTTAAGTGTTATAGTACACAAACTTAGAACTATGGTAGGAACTACATGTGAGGCCCTGTAAGGGCGTAGCAAAATACACTTATGCATTATTATCATTGCAAAATACATTATTATTTGAGATTGAGTTTGAGAATCGAAGCAGTGGTGCCTGTCAGACCTTGTTGATATGTAATAGGTCATGGAAACAAAGAGTCAAGTGAATAATCACAACAATAAAACCGCAAAGCTTTATTACCTCAGTATTGTTGTGGTTCCAATGTTTCGTCTTTTATTTATTTTTTGTATTCCCAGTTGTTTGTGGAAACAATTGACTTTCAACGAAAAGAAAGAGTTGTAAAGCGTAATGAACTAACAATGTTTAGTTTCAATAAAGGTCACGACAAGCGACTGTCGCTGGAGAATTTATTCGTTTATTAGTTATTGTTGTGTGTTTCTTCGTCAAGTAATGGTTTGTTAGTATTCGAAAAACCAAAAAGCTTGATCTCAAGTGACGGGACGAACAAATCGTACGCCTACAGTATTTGCGCTGTAGCATGGTGCGGGTGACAGTGAAACTTGCCATGATTTACAAATTATGACTTAGTTTTTCAGTTGTACCACATTCGTAATATATTAGATCATTAAATAACTGTAGTAAATTAAATTAAACTCAACCAGAATGTTCTAATCTACAAATAAAATGTAATGGAAAGAAAAATTAAACAAAGTGTTTTGCGTATAACGTAACGCCATACATGTATTTAGTGATGGGATGCAGTGCTACGATCGATAGTCGATGTTTTTATAATAAAAAACGTATATTGTGCGTAATTACATTTTTATTGTTAAGAAGTCTTTCATTATTTGAAACAACAGAACATTATGTGGGAAAAACCGATTTTATTCGTCTATACTCATATCAGAGTCAGGAACATCTGAATTCTCACTAAATTCATCATCTGAATCTGTGACGGCAATTATTAACGATGACTCAATTATGTTGTCAATATGGATGTCACGATCCCAATCAGACATAATGTCCCTTTTTGTTTTAATCACGACCTTCGACCAGTCTTCAGGTTGAACATGGTTGATGGCCTCTTGTAATAGGACAATTAGGGACGAATCCACATGCTGTGCCTGCGTGATATAATAAGGCGTTCACCTTTACCCTCCGGCACTTTGGTACTCGAGTGTGCCGTGTCGTCGGTCCAACATTTACCCACTGTGTGGTTGGCGTTTAGCCATATTTCATCCAAAAAGATAACTTTGCTCCAATCACTTATGATTTTGGCCTTTCTTAAAAATGTACATCTTGCTAGGGCAATGTCAGACCTCTCCATAATTATCTTCCTTTTGTTAACTTTTTTGTAAACAAAGCCAATATCTTTTATTACTTGCCGCAACGAAGTAATACCTCCTTTGAATAAGTCAGCTTCTTTTAATGATTTTAGAAGCTTGAGCAATGTGGGTAGCTCCATTCTTCTATAATAATCATAAATATGATTTCTTATAGCGTCCTTAGCAAAATCATCTATATCTATGATTGACTTCACCTTGGTCCGCTTTTTGTTAGGTGTCGTTAATTTATTTTCAGATGTACAATCTGGGCCATATTTCTCACGCGTTATACGCGAAACAGTATTGCGGCCAATATCAAGAGCTTCAGCTACTCGTTCTACTATTTTATTCAATGGTAACAACGGTCCATTATTTTGTTGTTCTCTTTCAAAGTAGTCTCGGAGGCGAACAACAAGCTCCCTGGCCTGACTACCCAAAACAGTTTTTTTTGTGTGTTTAGGCATGGTAATAACTACACAAACTCAACAAACTTTAACAAATAAAACAGCAAACTCAACAATTATAACAATTTTAAAAAAATGAGAACAATAAATGAAATAGAACGAAATGCGTGTCACATACAAGGCGCTAGCACTCGTACTGACTGACAGCATCGCACGGGTAAACAAAATGGCCGCCGCGCCGATGCGTCATTCTTAAGTTTTACGGCTCTGGTTGCTATGACCTTTGAGCCGGTCGTTGAAAAGTACAAAATTCAATGCCAAAAATTATTTTATCGAAAAAAAAAAATAATTTATTGCACAACGTGCATCCCTAGTCATGTGGTACTGACAGATGTCAACGTCATACAGGCATCTGTCACCCGCACCATGCTACAGCGCAAATACTGTAGTGGTAAGCAAAGCATTACACCTACCCATAACAATTATGCTATGTCCACAACAGTGCTCTTTCATGTTTATCTTGCGACTTCCTCTGACGCATGCATGAAGCGAGATATTACAACGCGAGCCTACATTTGAGGAGGTGTGGTGTGGGGGACCGCCTCTCGCGGCCCGCAACCCGTGCGCTGAAAATTAATATGAATAAAAGAAGAGGCGAAGATAATTTCACATAGATCCGACGTCGACAAGAGCCCGATGGCGACTGACGGGGCAGAGGAGGCGCGGCGCGACGGCGTGTGCTTAAACCGCTGGCCAATTCTAAAATTTTGTCTGAGTACTAAGAAAACCGACCTCAAAAATACGTGGATAGATAGAATAGGTGTACTATTTGCCAAGTTTTATTGAAATATCCCCAATTTCGCTACTACATATACTGGACTTGACACCAGAAGATAATAAAAATCGGTTCTCACTAATCAAAGTATATTGAGAGCGAAAAACGCCTTGAATTGGAGAATAGCAAAACCAACCATTAACATAATTGCTCCTTAAGTAAAATTTAGGCGCTATTTATAAAAATGCGTGTTCATGTATGATCAGCCACCCTTAGATGGGGATGATTTTCTTCAAAATGAAACGGGACCACTTTGGAGGTACCCTCTTTCCAACAAAAAAGAATCATTAAAATCGGTTTACAAATACCGGAGTTATCGCGTAACACACATACCAAAAAAAACAGAGTCGAATTGAGAACTTCCTCCTTTATTTGAAGTCGGTTAAATAAGACTTGAATGATAGTACGAAACACCACCATAGATAACATTACAAGTGCGACTGTAATTTTTCACTCCAAAGTAGCGAATTTTTGAATTTTCTATAATTTTCGAGCTGTTGCGCGAGGTAATTATACAACCATAACGTTAAAGGGAAATTGGCGAACTGAGCTCAAGTTTGCGGAACTCCGCGAACTGTTGGCACACGTGCTACGCAAACTAAGCACTTCTACTGTGTTTATGGTTCTGTGTGTACCGCGGCGAACATTAGGTCTATATTCAACACTAGGGGCCATCATTTCTGGGCTTTTTCATAATATGGAAAATTTATGAAGCCTCTTTTTTAATGTTTAGGTATATTATTATTATATATGACAAAATTACGTAATTACATTAATGTCAGTCGAACTGTGAAGATAAACAAATACGTTATCACATTGACCTACTAGAGTTTTCGACTACACCAAACAAAATGTCACGTAATAAAATATTATTCTAAACTCCATCAACTCAAAATTCGGACATTATTGTCATATTTTGTAAATAAACTGTTGTTTGATTTGTCACCGTATTTCTGTAATAATAATGGTTATAGAGAAGACTGTCATTTTATTGATTGATATTAAGTTTTAATT